GTTTGAACTGGGCGATGAAATACCATATCAAAGACGAGAGAGAGCTGCCAGTGTTTCGTTTTGGCAATGGAGAGCTCGGAGATGGACTCAAGCCGGCATTCGCCGGGCTCCACTTCGTGGATGGTATATTGATGCAGGATATTGAGCCACGGATCATAATTTGCGTGAGCTGCACGGGCGCGGCCACCCTTGACGCCTCGACGGGTGTGACGCCACGTCATATTTAAATGTGGCATTTGCCGCACCAATTCAAATAGCATGTGCCGTAGTCTAAAAACAATGAGAGCGCGCCGATCTCTTCGACGCGGCTTGAGCCTACCCCGAGGCGACGCTCTGTGCTGCGATCGACCGCTCTTGTGGCGCTAAGCACGCTGAGGCGCTCGTATAGAGCAAGCTCGTCCAGACGCACGTGGCCGCGAAACCTCGGTCACGACGAACGCGCAGGAGTCATGCCAACTACAAGGGCAAGCGACGAGAAGCGCAACGACCTCGAGATACTCGAGCAGCGCCACTGCTCGTGCGAGGCCGCGTGCGTCGTCACGGGCCCGTCGCGTTCATGGCGCGCTCGCTTGGTCGTTGGCGAGCGTGGACTCGCATTCGCTGGGTGCTTCGTACCTCGATCGATGGCGCGCAAGAGCTGGTGCGCCTTGTGCCCGAGAAAGGCGCACCTCGACCACTTGCAACTCGAGCGCCCGAGTACGATTCAGTCGACCGAAATTGCAAGTGCGAGACCCGCGCCATACAAGGCTCACCACCGATTGCCTGTGCGAGGACGCGTTCGCGTCACCTCTGCGTCTTGGTAGTCTGCTCGTCGATTGTCATGCTGCTGCTGGCGTGCGTCCAACGCGCTGAGGGCTGCCATGACGATGTGCTTGCTTTGGGCAATATTCATAGAGGGTCGTCTCACTGCTTTCGTGGGGACGCCGATGTAAAGAGTTGTGCGTGGATGTTGTTGCGATTCCGTGTACTAAGGGTCCCTCTCTGCTCCGCTCTTGGTTCTCGAGTCTGCGCTTTCATTCCTGTGGGCAGCTCGTATTTGCGGGTAACCGAGCTCAATCACATATATTAGTTTTTGATTTTCACATTCAACATCTACAACGAGGGGAGGGCCAGCAACTCGTGGTCCTCGTCGCTGTACTTGTCTCGGAGGTAGGTCTGGAACTGGTGGCGACTCAGCGACGTGCCAATGACTTCGTCGTACTCGTGCTCTGTGAGCGCAATGTGCTGGTCCCACGGCACCGCGCTGCCTTGGACGACGTATGGCCCGTTGTACCACATGAAGCGCATGCGGCAGCGACCGTCGCCCTGTCGCTCCAAGACGAACCTACGCGCTCACGAGACTCGGATCTAGATTCTGGACGTCGCACTCTATTACCAGAAGCGGCGCGGGCGCCAGATCGCGCTTGTCGGTTGCAGCTCGTCCTGCGCCATGTTGCCGAGCAAGAAGACGATGCGGTCGGGCGTTCGAAACTCGCGCGCCGCATAATAGCGCGAGTCGTCGCCGCTCACGGCGTACCGCCGGTAGACCATGCTCGGGTCGATCGCGGCCGTGATCTACACGCCATGAACATCATGTACACTCCCAGACGTGGCCTACGTCGCTGTCGAGCTCTTGCGACGTGTGCGCCATCGCGTCGCCTCGAAGGATGCTCCAGATGCGCGGCGCCAGAAACGCGTACGCGGCCTCAAGTGAGACGCTGTACTCGGCCTGGACGCGGCCAAAGACGTCGACGCAGTCGTTGCCGCAGTCCTGCACGAGGACGTCGGCGAACGAGCCTTGGCTGGGAAACCCGCCCCGCGCCAGCATCCGATCCGTGTTGAAATACATGTGCTGCGTGAACCAGTCGAGGCCGAGGCGCCGCGCGGTCGGGTCCTCCAGCAGCGTCGTGCGCGCCCACGCAAAGTCTTGGGCCAGCGACTAGGACGCTCGTGATGCGGGGATGCTCAAGATAGAAATAAGATCTGTACGGGCACGTTGTTTTGGCGCGAAATCGAAGCCGCGAGCGTCAGCGCACTCCGCACGGTGTCGGTCATGATGCGGTGCTTCCGCCTCAGCTCGTGCAGCGCCGCTTGCGCCTCGGCTGCGGCGTCGCGGAGGCCCGTCGCGGTATCACGCCACGACACCATCGCCAGGCGCGGGTGCGTGCGCCACGAGGCGACGAGCTGCGTCATGTGCTCGACCTGGTCCCGGAGGAGGTCGCGCTCGTGGACGTAGCGCGCCTTGTGGCGCTGCTGCTTGAGGCGGTTGCGCAGTCGCACGTGCTCGAGCCGACGCAGGTCCTCAGCCATCGTCGCCTGTCTGATTTGAACCCAAGCGTAATCGCGGATGGTGTATAAAACACTCCAGCTGTTTTAAACCTGTCCAGAACGCCAGTTGCCATTGATCCTTGGTGCTCTTGGAGGAAGGTGCTAAGTCGAGTCTCGAGTGCTGTCGCGGGCAAATCGCTGTTGGAGTCCCTTGCTATACGAGTCGCCTCCAGGCTTGGTGTCTTTAGGGTGTTTGAGAGTTGTCTCTAAAACGAAGGCTTTGTTGTTTAGCGACCTGCCTGTCCTTGAACGACTCATTTTTTTGGCTTCGGCTGTCGTCGACTGCCATAATCCTAGTCGTGGCATCTAGTATAATGACTACACCTCGATGCAGTACGACTTGTTCTCGCGCACCGCCCGTGGGTCGGGCAAAGATCGCGATTACCCATTGATCCACGTTTATTGGTCCATCTATTTTTTAGACGGTTCTGATTGGCTACGTTGTAAATATCGATCAAGGCCCGAGACAAAAAGAGTCTGCCAGGTGAGCGCTTGGTAGAACAACGCACTCTCGCAATACACGTGTCATTTGATGCATTCCTTTACCACGGCTGAAAGCGAAAGGTGAGCTCCTTCTCTGGCGTCATGAGTCGCTCGTCAGGTAGCGCTGGTTGGGGTTCGCGCCGGGTACAGGGCTCCTTCACGACCGCTCGGACGTACGAGACTTTTTCCAGCGCCGCGCCGTCAAAGCTGCTCTTGGCGCCCAAGGCTGCATTGGTCTCGTCCCTGATCGTCTCTTGCATCGCGCGGCCGTTGGGCGACGAGGCGAGGAGGTACAGCGTCCACAAGAGCGCGTTCGTCGTCGTACCGACGCTCGCCAGGAGCACGTCGACGGCCTGCGCGACTGAGCTCGGGCCGCGCCAAGAACATGCTGCGCAGGTCCAGGTCCGTCTCTTCTTTGGACGACATCTTTTGCCGCATGCGCGTCTCACCCAAGGCAGAGATCACGTCCGAGTGCGCTGCAAACGTCTCGTACGGCGGCAGAAACCGGTAGGCCCAGTGCGGCACGAACGGCCAAGTCCCTGCGTCATGGCCGCGAAGCCGTCGACCGCGTCGATGAACGCTTGGGCCTTAGCGCCGATGGGCGTCAAGTAGTCGCGTGAGACGCAGCCCGTGCGTCGCCTAAAGACCCCATTTAGCCACCCGCCACTCCTCCCCCGAGGCTGGGGCGGGAATTCAAGCCATACGCACTTTTCGCCATTAAGAACGCCCGCATGTCGGAAGTGTACACGATGCAAACCACGGCGTGTCAAAGTCGTCATTTGATTGTTAACGTTTTCAGAGCGCTTTGTATCTGTAGTCAAGCATTGCGTGCGTTGTAGTACGGCAGAGGCGGCGAAGCGTGGCTTGTTCTTCTTCCCAACGTGTCTTCTATCACTGTGCGAACAATGGGCGAATCCATTTCAGACATGATGTCGTCGACCAAGTGGCGTCGGCGTCCTGGAGCGGTGCCTCTAAGATTGCACTACGATCCTAGTTTGGCATGTACGATGAGTATAGCGGCGTGCCTCACTGCTGCTCTACACTACGCACGTCGACGCGGCCGCGCATTCCGAGCTCTCCAAAGCGTCCTCTACCAATGTGCCAAATCTTGGCAAGCTCATTTCTAAAAGCGATGTAGTCGATCGGGCGATGGGTTGGAAGGCGTTGGCCAAGAAAATATATGAAAATCATGATAAATGTTCTGCACACTTGGTGCTGCAAAGGGAATGAACGGTGGGTGTCGGGATCAGTAAACCTCGCATGGTCGCACCACCCACTATGCCCAAAGGTCGAGAAAATGAGTCTTAGTACGTATTGGCGACGTCTGGCGCGGGATGAGACCATGGGACGCAACCATGTTCGTCCCAGACCACCAAGAAGACTGTGATCGATCCATCGATCCAGCCTGCGAACTAAATGACGTGGCAGCATAGCGTGCAACTTGATATGGCTCCACAGAAAGGACCGATTTCCAAAAATGTAAAAAGACGGCGAGGTTGATTATCACCATCTATATACTAGTATGTAATTATACAAAATTCACAGGGCTCTTTCTTCCTGTGAGTGGCTAGAATTTTTTAAATATTTTCGTTTTGTCGCTCCTCCATCCTATGTGCGTTGAGATGCGGGTCTAATACGACGCGCGCGGCTGGCAAATCTGGCGGCTGAAGCGCGGGCTCTTGCCATGGTGCGTCAGCTTGTAGTGCATCGATTTGTTGGCCTTTTGCGTCTGGTACAAGGCGTTGTCCGTCTTGGTCGTGCGCTTCAAAATGTTTTGCACCATGGGCTCAACGCTGCGGCGGTTCTCCTGGAGCGAGACGCACTTGTCAAAGAGCTTGCGGTGAAGTTCTTCCCGCAAGTCAAGGATCTCGAGATCGGCGAGGAGCTCGTTCATCTGGTCACACGCCTCGAGTTCGCGCAGGTCCGTGGTCGTGTATGGGTAGTATGCTGGGTCAAAGAGCTCCTCGTCCGGCACTTCGCGGTAGTCGACGACTTGGTCGAGGATGACAAAGCCGTCGGTTGACTGCTTCCCGCTGCCCGGCGTGTACGGCAGGCCGGCCGTCCGGATAAGGTCGTCCGTCAGCGGTGTCTTCCAGCCGAGCGCAGGCACGTAGGTCGGCGCATCGACATTGAGCGTCGTCGTCTTGGTCTTGGGCATGGGCGCGCCCTTCTTGGTCGGGCTACGGGGCGCGGGCGTCGACTGCGTCTTCTTGGTCATGCTGGGTACCTTCTTGTTGGGCAATTAGTGGAATGAGCTGCACGATGCGAATAGCTCCCATCCCAACTTCAACCATGTCAGTTCCACCAATCCAATGCGTCGAAGCCTACATTCCACCAATCAGACGCTGCCGGATAGACACCGGCAAACCAATCACGACGCTGCGTTTCTACACTTGTACCAATCCGGTACCCGCCATCTTGATCAGCGGCAACGCCCGTGCTCTGCTGTCCGCCATCGACGCCACCGACTGCCTGCTCGTACAGGCCAAGTCGGATGAGCAGCTAGGTCAGACCTCTAATACCATTGCATGGAGTTTGTGTCTGTAGTCTGTGCACTGACAGTCCAAAGCGTCAGGTTTCCAGAGCCCTGCAATGGGGCCAATACCCACCCCATTGAGTGTTGATACCGGGTACCGGTTGATACTTTGAGTCCCGAACGCACCATTTTGCTAAACATAGAGGAGCCATCTACTGCAGCGCGTCGTAGCCGTCGCGGCGCTTCTGCTGCGTGAGCAGCGCATGCAGGCCCAGCGCGAGGCAGGCGCCCATGACCATGTAGCCGACGACTTCGACGAAATTGGTGCGGCTGGCTGTGTGCGGCACGTCCTTGGCGCTGATGGTTTCGCCCGTCCCGGTCGAGATCTCGATGGATTTGCCCTTGGCCGGGTCCGTGTACGACGCGCCGGGCCACCCGTTGAACTCGGTGGCTGAGAGCCAGGCGCGGCTGTACCCGGGCGCAGACATTTTGCCCGGCCCCTCGCCCGTGACGATGTAGCCGCAGCTGTACTTGGCCACGAGCTGCCACGCGAGCGCCCACCAGTGCGCGACGACGCTCGATGCGAACGCGTTGAGCTGCGTCGAGATGTCTGACGCCGAGTGCGTCCCGTTGCGTCGGAGCGAGGCCATGAGCGCGATGCCGTCGGCTTCGAGGCGCGTCGCATGCGAGAGCACTTCGCCGTTGATCGAGTTCCAGCGCAGCATGCTCCACTGGTTTACAAAGTTGAAGGCCCACCACGCCGAGTCCGTGTTGAAGACGCTCTGGTTGCCCGTCGTGTACGAGGTCGGGAGCGACGACTGCGTGGGCGCGATCGGGACAAAGACCGAGCCGTGCGGACTGTCTTGGCAGTACCACGCCGTCGCCCGGAGCGACTCGGAGACGTCGATCGAGGGCGCTTGGATCTGCAACACGAACGCAAACATGGTCCGGTACATGGAGATCGACCGCTCCCAGCCGCCCGAGACGTTGAAGAACGGGCCGTCAAAGCTAGTTTCGAGTTGAGATTCGTGCTGCGATTTGCAGAGATGCGTACCGGATCGGGTTGCCAAAGGGTCCGGCGCCGAGGCCACGCGTCATGTCGTACGGCGTGCCCTCGTAGTGGTCGCGCATGAGCCGAAAGACCGTCGTGAGGTTCACAGGGCGATCCGGCTTGACGCTAAACGGGTATGTAACCTCGGTCGGTTGCCAGCCCAATGTCGCGTCGAGCGTCAGAGACGGCGCCACGTAGTCGAGGACGCGCCAGAGACGACGGCCAGCGTAGAGCGGCAGGAGCGAGCCAGCGTACCCGGTCACGTCGCCCCAGCTGTACGCGGCCGTGAAGTCAAACGGGCCTACGCCACGCATTCAGCGCCGTGGAATGGGAGAGCGCGTACCGTCGGCGGGGCTGTACCAGCCCATTTCGGTCGCAAACGAAACCACGTTGCTGGACGCGAGGTAGTTGTCCGTGTCGTTGAGGTCCATCTGCCGGATCGTAAACGCGTTCGCGAGCACGGTCACGTGGCCGTCGGGCACGCGCTGCGCCGCCCAGACCGCCGACGCGTTCTTCGGGCCCGTGAGCACGTGGAAGATCCACATCTCGCCGTACTTGTCCGAGATGCCGAGGCTCTCGGCCGAGTCGCAGTACATGGGCGCCTATACCCAACGCGTCCATGAGCTTCGGTTCCAATGCGATTGTGCGTACCTTGGGATCGCCGCTGTCCTCGCTGTAAAAGCCATGCGCGACCGCGAGATCGCCCATGGTCTGGATTGCACAGCGCGCGCTGTCGCAGCGCTCGAGCGCAATCTTGGTGAGCTCGCCAATGCCCATCATGTTGAAGCCATACGGCACGTCGCTTGGCCACCCGACGGTCTTTGCCGGGCACGTGCTCTCGGCGATGCTCAGCGACGCTTCGTTCATCATGCCGTAGTCTTGGTCAAAGTACGCGTACGTGTGGGGCACCTGCGGAATCGATCCCAGCGGCTTCATGAGCGCCTGGCCATGCACCGGCTCGTACAGCGGCCCGCGGCCCATCGACGTGATGCGCGGGTAGCCGCCAAACACGTTGTACACGTCGCGCGTCGCATTGGCCGGATGGTCCATGGCCGGCACGCGGACGAGGCGCGTGTCCGCCGTGCCGCCGCCGGCGTCGTCCGTGTGGGCCAAGAGCGACGAGCCGTCCGCCGACGCGCCGTGCGTCACGCCAATGACGGTGCACGCGTCGGCCGTCGCGGCGAGCGCCGCAAGCACGAGGATCTGTGTCCCTCGCATCGAATTGGATAGTGTCAACTTCAACCCCGATCTTGATACATTTTAATACGCCCACGTCATGCAGCATACAAACGTCTAGTCTAACGCATCTCCGAGCATATTAATATTCCACTGCGAAATGATATCTTGCTATTTGTATTGACGACCGTGAAAAGCATGCGAGAAAAAAACGCGGCTAAAAAACCTCTCCATTTAAATATTGCTTCATAACCAATGCAGTCACCATAATATTGTATACCTTAGCCCATCTTCAAACCTCTCACAATCGATGCACTGTGACCTTGGATACGAGTTGAAGTGGTTGCCCAACCAGAACGCGGCTTCGAAATCTCCGAGCAGGGCAGTTCAACATGGGTACATGCGCGGCTGGCGGCGATGGCGCCACCGCTACGTCACGCAGTAGCCCCATTGACGCCTGCTTCTGCGAACGGCGAGCTCTCTATGCTACCACTTGCACGAGGGTGAACGGGTCACAAGGCTTGCAACACATACTGCTGACCCTGAGAGAGTAGCCGCGCGCCGGCGACACGCGTCGTACAGTGGTATCTAGTATTGGCATCGGTCTTTACAGCGTTGTGCTGGGTTGTACGTCTACTGGGCTTGGCGCGGTCACGTCGTCGTCGGCGCGCCTGCGCTGCGCGGCCTTGCGGAACGAATCGCCGAAGCTGCCCGAGCGCGCGCCAAAGGCCACGGTACTCAGCACCGCGATGGACGTCGCCTTGAGCTTGCGCCGCGCGTTGAACTGCCGCAGCTGGATGAGAGCGTTGTCGAGCTGGACCGAGCCGACGTCGATGCCTGTGATCCACGGGTGGCGCAGGAGCTGCGCGGTCGTCGGGCGCGCCTTGGGGTCCTTTGTGAGCATTTGCGTGATGAGGTCCTTGGCCGCGTCCGAGACGTCGTCCCAGTACGGCTCGTGGAAGTGAAAGACGCCCTCCTTGATCTGCGCGAAGAGCGCCGGCCGGTTCTCGTCGTGGAAGGGCGGGTACCCGCAGAGGAGGATGTACGTGATGACGCCGATGCTCCATACGTCGACGCTGGCGCCGTAGGGCTTGCCCATGAGCACTTCGGGCGCCACGTACCCCGGGGTGCCGCACGCCGTCACGAGGCCCGCGCTGTCGACTGCAATGCGCTTCGCAAAGCCAAAGTCGGCGAGCTTGAACGACGTGTGGTCGTCGCGGTTGACGAGCAGGATGTTTTCGGGCTAGTTCGCGCATGAGCTCTGTTGGATGGAGATGATCGTGTACCTTGAGGTCGCGATGGACAATGTTGGCGGCGTGGCAGTACGCGGTGACTTCGAGGAGGCTCTTGACCACGTCGCGGGCCTCGCGCTCGGTGTAGCACGTCTTCTCGACGATGCGGTCAAAGAGCTCGCCGCCCTCAACAAACTCGGTCACGAGCACAAAAAACTCGGGCTCGGCAAACACTTGGTGCAGCGCAATGATGTTGCGGTGGTGCATCTACAGATCGACGTCGCCGCCTTGTACAAGTACGAGGAGGAGGCTACCTGCTTGAGCACCGAGACTTCGACGAGGAGCGCGTGGACGTCGTCGAGGCTGAGGTTGGCGCGGCGAATGCACTTGGCCGCGTACTTGGTGCGCGTCGCCTTCTCAATCGCCACGCGCACGGTCGAGTACGAGCCGCGGCCGATGACGCGCCCGAGCTCGTAAGAGTCCTTGGCGAGGCCGGCGTCGAAGACCGGCGACGCCGCAATGAGGTCGTCGATCGTCGTCTTGCCCGGCGCCGTCGTCGTCGTCATCGCTGCCAATTCCTCTCTGCAATTGGATGCCATTGATGGGAAGGGGCCAAGATCCGGATACGCCGTCCGGAATACCACGCGGGTGTCCCACCTCACGTGGCGCCCGCATGGGAGAGAGCGCCAGCGTCAAGATGCCCTAAATACCGGTATGTGCAAACTCCCAAGCCTTTGCACATCGGCCCGCAAGCAGCGAGGTGTCGATGGATATCAGTGCGCTTGCTGGTCGTTGACACACCGGCAGGTGTGGGCAGCAGCACTCATCCTTCGCCGGTGCCATTTGGCCGTTGGTTCAACAGGAATGAACGCGTAGCTGATATTCAGCGAGCCGAGTCGCATCCGTCGAGATGAGGTACAAGAATGTTCAGTCAGATGTGACAACCGAGGGCTCCGGCTACTTGGTAGCCTTCGGGCTCTCTCTTGATGCACTGCGTGGAGAGGTAGTCGATGGCAGAGAGAACGCGCGTCCGATTCCAGCTACGAACTGATTCTAGGAGCTTCCAGGGCGGCAACTTATTGACGTGGTGTTGGCTCCTGGGTCTGAGCTGGGCACTGGTTAAGGAGAACCAGGCTGATTAACATCTAGGCTTCGCACATATAAACTCTACTATTTCTCACGAACGACGACGATGCTAGTTTAACGAGAGCGTACTAAATTTTTCCAGTACGTTGGCGCGGGTTTGAGCTTGGAGACTCTCCCCAAAGCTCTCGATCGAGCGCTCTTCTGGTGGCGCGTGGAGCTCTGCAAACTCCTCTTGCCATGTCGTAAAGCGCCCGCTGACCGACAACGGCCCGTTGTACATGACCATGCGCAGCCGCGACGTCGTGGGCCCGCGTCGCTCGAGCACCGCCCTACACTCGTGTTGGTAAAACATGGCATCTGAATCCATATTGGTCCATACCAGATCATGGTCGGGATCCACGTCTCGTTGCGCGCTTGGCGCTCGTCGTGCGCAAAGCTGCCCATGACAAAGACGATGCGATCGGGTGTCGAGAACTCGCGCGAGACGTTGAAGTTGGCTTCGCCCGCCGAAATGACCATGCGCCGATACAGCAACTTGTCGTCGATCGACGCTGTGAGCTACAGTGTCCACGTATGACATCCATATATATAGTGGCATCGTACGTCCTGGTCGAGAAACTCCGAGTAGAACGGCAGCACTTCGCCGCGGAAGATGGACCAGAGGCGGCCATTGAGCGCCGCGTTCGCCGCCTCGAGCGGCACGTTGTAGTCGATCTGGATGCGCGAGAGGAGGTCGAGCTGGTCTGGACCGCAGTCCCGCGTGAGGCTATTGGCTTCGCTCCCCACGGGCGAGAACGACGCGTACTGCATCATGAGGTCCGTGTTGTGGTACAAGTGCTGCGAGAACCAGTCCATGCCGAGGCGCCGTGCCGCGGGGTCGGCGGCCAGCGTGGCCTCGAGGAAGGCGAAGTGGCGTGCAGGCATCTACGGGAGGTGATCGCACCAGCGTGAAGCGCAGGCAAGGGTACCGTGAGGTTGTCGCGGCGGCTGAGCGTCGTGGCCATCGAGACCGCGCCGGCAAACGTCTTTTGCAGCTTGGCGTGCTGTTTCTGGAGCTTCTCGCACCAGCGTGAAGCGCAGGCAAGGGTACCGTGAGGTTGTCGCGGCGGCTGAGCGTCGTGGCCATCGAGACCGCGCCGGCAAACGTCTTTTGCAGCTTGGCGTGCTGTTTCTGGAGCTTCTCGAGTGTCTCCACGGCCTCGAGACGGGCGTCGCTAAGGGCCGTCGCGACGTCTTGCCAGGACAAGGCCGACTCGTCGACCTCGGGCTGGGGCGACCCCGACCGCTTGGCGAGCACGAGGCTCAGCTCCTCGATCTGCTGCTCGAGGATCTGCCGTTCCGAGACGTACCGCGCCTTGTGGCGGCGCTGCTTCATGCGGTTTCGCAGGCGCTGGTGCTCGAGGCGCCGGTCCACCACGGTCTCGGCCGCCATTGCTCGTTTGGCAATCGTCTTTCTGGCTGCATGGATTTTATTGGCTGAAATCCCGTTGGAGACCCAATCAGGTCCAACATGGGTGATAGCTCCGGCCGAACCATCATTTGCTTGTCACGCCAAGCGTATATCGCTCGCAGCAGACAACGAGCCGATACTTCATCGGCCTCCTCCTCATAGTCAGACTCTGTACCAGGCGCTCCCGCCTTGGTCGCCTGCAACCTTGGATTTGGCGCTGCACCATTTGTTGAAGTTATTGTCGCATCACAGCCAAGTGACAGCCACAACTTGAAACATCGCTGCGCAAGGCGAAACAAGCTGACTCCTGCAGGAATAAATAACAAACGAGATTATATATGCCGGTGAGTGAACAGCGATGGACGCCTCAGTGTTGGCTGCAGGCGCATGCGTTCGTGCAAAGGCGCCGCGTGATGACGGCCAAAGGAGTCGGCGAGTCAGCACTTGCCGTGACCAACGTCCTCTTGTATTCACTCGAAATAGGACTTGAATCTCAGGCGTCATGGCCCGCGCTCGGCTATAACGAAGGAATCTTGCGAGACGCTCTGTGCGTAATGAGCTTCCGAGCTCATGTCTGTCTCTGATCGGCGTGGTGTCTCGACGACCAGCATCGCAACAGCGACCGCGAGGCCCTCGCCTCACAAGGGTCTCAACGCCACCACAACGACATTCAACAAGGCAGTCGAAGGCTCTCGCAACACAGATCTTGGTGCTTTCTTGTTGGCAAATGCACAGTAGCTCCGCGATGGAATCTCGTACAGAGGAATATGTGTAATCGGGGCCACCGATTGCTCACACGTTGTCGCCGACGGCAACTGCAAGCCGCTAGTCGCTGCATCTGCGTCTCTATGAGGCGAGTCTGCTCTTCGCGATCGGAAATATTGGTCGCCACGCTTGAGGTTGTCTCTTCAACCTGCGCTTCTGTGCAGTCGCTCGGTGCATACTCACACCAAGTGTAATGTGGCGGTATCGCGCTGCAAGATGCGTGCTGACGGGCTTGTTTGCTGGTTGTTTACGCTTTCGTCATCGGTCTATAACGCGTTTTATTGGCGTTTAAACTGATGGCATGTGGCACCGCAGGATTACGCTGGCGCTCCATTCCATGGTCATCGCAGCTCAGGTGCGCGGGATTGATGATGGCTCATCATGGGGAAATGCACTGTACGCTATCGCTCCTGCCTTCGCTCTGCGGCAGCCTGGTACGCGTAGAATGGGGTCCTCTCTGTCCGAGGTCGTCGTGCTCTGAGTAGCAATCCCATCACTCCGATACATGCATTGCCCTGCCCACAAGCACTCGTTGCTTTGCATCATGATCCGCCTCGAGCGTCATGTAATCGACGCGGCTGTGTCATATAAAAAACGCGTTGTTGGTCGTAAAAACGCGCTAAACACATGGTCCCACGGGGACTGAAATCGATCTTCTGTCCCATGTCGAGTCAACTGCGGCGCACAATAATGTCGTGTGACGCTCGTCACCGGGCTCAGTTTTCAATTTATTGCCTTGTCTGCATGACTACACCAGCCTTTGTGATTCCGACACCGCCTCCGAGCCCGCCGATGCTCGGCTACACGCGGCACAGCGACGGCGACGAGTGGCAAAGCCAGTCGCCGACCAACGATGCGAGCGAGTCGGGCAAAGAAGGCGACATCGATGAGGACAACTCGACAGCGCTCGCACCCGGGGCGCCCATTCACATCTTCTCGATGGCGGCCATTGCCCTCTACCTGCAGATGATCGCGGTCTCGTGCTTGCAAAACCTCCTGCCGCCGCTCAAGATCTACCTCTTCACGGCCTACCTTCACGGGTCGACGACGCACGTGTGGCAGCTCACGGCGCTTGAGAACCTCGCGTGGACCTTCCGCGTCTTCTTCGCGGTTCTCTCGGACGTTGTTCCCGTCTTTGGCTACAAGCGCAAGTTTTGGATGGGATTTGGCTGGCTCGTGACGCTTGTCGGTGTCGCCATCATGGCCTTCTCCGACTTTGGCGCGCCCTTCTGCGACCCGAAGTACTACCCGACGTGCTGGAACCCCAAGGCCAACACGACAAAAGCGGCCTACGACTTTGGCGCTCCGGACCGCGTGAGCTGGTACCGCATCCCGACGCTCGTTGCCACGCTCGGTGTTGTCATCGTGACAGCCTCCGTCGACGGGCTCATGGTCGAGTACGCGCAGCGGGAGCCGTTTTCGACCCGCGGTCAAATCCAAGCCATCATGTACGCGCTCATGGGGTCTGGCGCTCTCATGGCGCGCTTCTTCAACCAGTTTTTTCTCAACGGCGCCCGGTACGGCGGCAACTACGACTTCTCCGCGGGTCCCAGCGTCCCGTACTGGATGGGTGTCGGCATGGCGCTGGCGGCCCTCACGGCCGTCGTAGGCCTCGTCGTCGAGTCCAAGAAGCGCGCGTCGCAGGACCTGCGCACGTGGTCGGCTGGGCTCTGGACGCTCTTGACAAGTCGCGTCGTTTTCCAGCTGCTCGCGTTCCGTTTCGCCTTTAACCTCTTTGCCACAATCACTGGCAGCCCCATTTACGCCTGGGTCACCAACCTCGACATGGGCTGGATCAACATCACGCCGCGCATGCTCTTCGTGCCCGCGACGATCCACTATGGCCGCTTTGCGCTGCAGTGGAACTGGCGCCGCGTCGTCGCCGTCTCGACCGTCTCCAACATTGTGCTCATGGCGCTCGCCACCTTCTTTGTGATTTACGACGTCTCGCGCAATGCGTGGGTCTTTACCGCGCTCTTCTTGCTCACGGGCGTTCCCGTCGCTCTGATCAACCTCGTCACGGGCTTCGCCATGGTCGAGATGGCCGGCGTCGGCTACGAAGCTGTCATTGCGGGCCTCTGGGCCACCATCCGCGACCTCAACGTGCCGATCGCCAACAAGGTGCGCACATCGCTTGTCGACGAGTTCCCGGCCGCCATGAGCATGAAGCACGACGCGCACACGCACAACCAAGTCGCGTACCCGCACATCATTGGCTTCTCGATCCAACTTGCGGGTCTCATCTGGCTCGTCCTGCTGCCGTCGCAGAAGACGCCACTGGCCATGATGAAGTCGCACGGCGCGTCGCGTGCCGCGGGTGCGCTTGTCGTGCTTGGCTACGTTGCGCTCGTCGCCTTTTCGTGGCAGCAAGCCCTCGAAAAGTACTAGAGACATTTGTCTATTTAACACTTCTTCTAAACATGTAAATGCATACACTACGCTCATACCAGTCACCTGTCGACTCTTTGAGAAGCAGGGCTCCCAGGCGACCGCCGAGTTGCGTTCCATGTCTGTGTGGCAGAGCGCCTCGGATAGCCAAACTTCAGACAATGCTGCCTAGCTTTGCCACCTCAGTATATAGACAGGAGGTACGGTGGACTGATTTGCTTATCGCTATCATGCCGACGGACCTGCCTCGTCACACGGGTCGCCACGTCACCAGAGCGAATCTCAGTCGAACCAATGGCGATCCTCTACGGTGGAGACCGAGTCGTGGCTGCAATAAAATGATGACGGAAAGCGACCGATTTTGCATGCAGAATGAGATGCAAGTGCCGTTGCGATTGTTTCGAAAACAACAGCATTTGCCAAACCGTCCGCGCCCTTACGCACGCTGTAATGCGATCGGGTTGTTTCGTCAAACAAGCCGGACGGTATTGAACGCGTTTAAACAACTACGTCAAAAGATGCATAGGGACCCCAATGCTGCACGTTGTTTCGCTGCAACACGTTTAACGTGAATAGAACGCGTTAAAACCTCGCCAGCCGCTGCACTCCCATCCGAAATATTTTGACATATGTGTCACATACTTGTCAATCGGTGCGCCTCCATCATCAACCGTGCAGCTTCAGACAAATTGCATGCAGCCCACTATAGCTTTTGCCGAGCATGACGTACATCATGTCGACGCCGCCCATGCTCGAAGACCCGAGCGCCGAGTACCAGTACCAGAGCGACGTTACGGCCATTAGCATCACCAACATCTCGGACGATGAAGACGCGACCTCCGCGGCGTTGGCGCCTGGCCCCCAAGTGGCCACCATGTCGGTACCTGCATTTATACTCTACTTGCAGCAAGCTCTCGCCGTGCTCATGCAAAACCTCCTTCCGCCGCTCAAGATCTACCTCTTCACGGCCTATCTCCACGGCTCCAGCGCCGACGTCGCGCAGCTCACGGCCCTCGAGAACCTCGCGTGGACTCTCCGCGTCTTCTTTGCGATTCTCTCGGACGTTGTTCCCGTCTTTGGCTACAAGCGCAAGTTTTGGCTCGGGTTTGGCTGGCTCATCACGCTTGTCAGTCTCTGCGTCATGGCCTTCTCCGACTTTGGCGCGCCCTTCTGCGACCCGAAGGACTACCCGACGTGCTGGAACCCCAAGGCCAACACGACAAAAGCGGCCTACGACTTTGGCGCCCCGGACCGCGTGAGCTGGTACCGCATCCCGACGCTCATCGCTACGCTGGGCGTTGTCATCGTGACGGCCTCGGCGGACGGGCTTCTCATCGAGTACTCGCAGCGGGAGCCGATTGTTACGCGCGGCCAGATCATGGTCATGACGTACGCTGCAACAGGGACTGGCGGTCTCAACGCGCGCTTCTTCAACCAGTTTTTTCTCAACGGCAAGCGCTACGGTGGCACGTACGACTTCTCGGCCGGTCCCAACGTCGCCTACTACTTTGCCATCTCGATGGCGCTGCTCGGCCTCGGCCTCGTCGTGGGTATGTTTCACGACACCAAGCCCGCGCTCGTCAAGCAAGAATCGTCATCGTCGTCGCAGCGCTGGTCGTCGGGTCTCTGGAAGCTGCTGCACAACCGCGGCATCGCGCAGTTGCTGGCGTTCCGCTTCGCCTTCAACCTCTTCTCGATGATCTCGGGCGCGCCGATTCAGTCGTGGGTCACCAACCTCGACATGGGCTGGATCAACATCACGCCGCGCCTCCTCTTCATCTCGGCGACCATGTACTATGGCCGCTTTGCACTGCAGTGGAACTGGCGCCGCGTCCTCGCTTTCTGGACCTTTTCCAACACTGTGCTCATGGCCCTCGCCACCTTCTTTGTCATTTGCGACGTCTCGCGCAACGCGTACCTCTACTCGGTGCTGCTCGTGCTCACGGGCATCCCCGTGGCCATCATCAACCTCGTCATGGGCTTCCTCATGGTCGAGATGGCCGGTGTCGGCTACGAAGCCGTCATTGCGGGCCTCTGGGCCTCGATCCGCGACCTCAACGTGCCGATCGCCAACAAGGTGCGCTCGTGGCTCCTCGACGGCTTTCCCGCGACGATGAGCCTCAAAGACGACGCGGAGACCAAGCACCACGTCGCCTACATGCACCTCATTGCATTCGCGATCCAGCTCATCGGCCTTGTCTGGATCGTCTTGCTGCCGTCGCAGAAAATCCCGCTGGCCATGATGAAGCAGCGCGGTGGCGCCACGTCCGTCGGCGTCCTCGTCGCACTTGGCTACGTTGCGCTGATGGCGTTCTCGTGGCAGCAAAACCTTAATTCCTATTAGACTAAAACCAACTATTTAAGACACTACAGTACAATCTTTTTTTCCTCGAAGCATTGTCGAGCCCTATGGGACGAGGCCCATGGAGATAGACGAGAAAGAGACAATCGGTGCCCAGAACCCGCCCACAAGTGTGCGGTGCGATCGCTGTCACATTGACGCTCTGCACTTGGATTTCTTATTCATGCGGCGAAATGTCAACCGATCGGAAGGCGTCCATCGTCGACGCTGTCTCCTTGACGAACACCGGCTGAACGCAGGCACCGGCAGTTGGTCAACAAACCGTCAGTTCAAAAACACCCAACCTCACCAACCCATCATAGTGAAACCCATATTATTGGCTGGCAACACCAGGTTTAACCGATCCGAGATACACACACCAAAGAAAGATCACGTTGCTTATTCGATATGACGCTACACGGGTATGTCGCGATCAGCTGTCCACCATCGACCGATTCGAGCATGCAAGCAAGGACGATACGATCGCTTTAGCACTTGACGGCGTTGGTTTGCGTCAAAAGACCGAGCTTGTACGGCAGCGCGTCGTAGTCGCCGCCGGCCTTTGGGTCGAGGCCCTGGTACAAGAAGCGCAACGGCTGGCACGGGTCCACCGTCAGCGTTTGGTCCGTCTGCGTGCGCACGAGCTCGCCGTGGCTGATGCTCTTGGTCCACGCGGCGCCGTTGGGAAACTGGACGTTGTTGGCGCGCGCGAACGGGTTGGCCTCCGTGTTGGCGAGAGCTGTCCAGGCGCCGCTGAGACTCGACGCCTTCCAGGACCGAAAGTAGCGATGGCCGTCGCTGCCAATGGCCTCGACGACGAGCATGTACTGGTTGCCGATGCGGTAGATGCACGAGGCCTCAAAGAGCGCAAACTTGTTGACGGTGTCCTGGAGCGCGATGACGGGCTCGCCAAAGCCGCGGGGAAAGTTGTGGAGGCTCGTGGACGACCGGTAGAGGTGGCCGTTGTCGTCCGACGAGAAGAGGTGGCAGTTGGCCGCGTCGCAAATGACAAACATGTCGACCCAGTGGCCGTTGCCGATGTTTTGCTTGATGATACTGGGCTGACTGGCAAAAAAGTTCTGCGGCGCCGACCACCCAGACGGGTTGGAGATGTCCTTGTTGGTCGAGTACGCGGCGTTGCCGTTCTGGTACACGAGGTACCACAGGTTGTGCGGCTTGAAGAAGAAGACTTCGGGCGCTGCGCGGTACCCCTTCCCGATCGGCGTCGCGTCGAGGTAGTGGAACTTTGCCGACTGCGCCTTGGTCCAGTCCGAGAACGTCAAATACACGAGGTTGTACCCGGCCTTGGACGCCGTGCTCGCAAACACGTGGTACTGGCCGTTGACCTGCACGATCGTCGGGTCCTTGATCGCGTTCACGCCCTTGCCGTCGGCTTTGGCCGAGATGAGCGGACCGGACGAGCTCCACTTGAAGCTGGAGGGAAGGTTGGCGTTCGACGACGGCTTGACCGTGGGCTTGACCGTGGGCTTGACCGTGGGCTTGACCGTGGGCTTGGCCGTGGGCTTGGCCGAGGCGCCGTCGGCCGCGACCACGATGCTGGCCGAACCGCTGCTGCGGTAGCCCTCGGTCGCGACGATCTGGTACGCCATCGTCGTGCCGATCTTCATGCCGAGCTTGGCCCACGCGTTAAAGTGGTTGGCGGTCGTGACGCTGCCGCCCGTGCGCTTGTTGCGGCGCTAGCAACGAGTCGTGAGTCATGACTTTTTACGATGAGACAGGAGAGAGACGACGTACCACGGACCAAAACTGCTGAAACGTCTTGTCACCTTCGATGCTCGGGGCGTTGTAGCGCATGGCCGTGTAGATGTCGTAGACGCTGCCGTCCGAGGTGACAGTGCCCTTGAGCTGGCCGCCGCTGCCGGGGTTGTACGTGCCGTAGTTTTCCACAATGTAGTACTCGATGAGCGGGTTGCGCGACCAGCCGTAAACGGTGAGGTAGCTGTTGCCCTGGGGCATGTACGTGCCAGTGTACGAAATGGTGCGGTGCGTGCCGACGGCCCAGCCCTTGCCCGCGACGAGGTTGCCGCCGCCGTTGCTGGGGCTCGACCACTTGACCGAGTACCCGCCGCCCGCCAGATTGGTGTACGTCACGTCCGAGACGCCGTCCGACCACATCGAGTAGTAAAAGCTGTTGTTCATGCCCGCCGAGTTGGGCGTGCTCGCGGCGGCGACAGCCGCAATGACCAGCGCGAGAAGCCCGAGGATGCAGTTGGCCATTGTACGCTTGGAGCTGAGATGGACAAATGAAAAGTGAGTCGAGTGGCGCCAAAGACTCTGGAACGTACCGGGTGCTCGCGCCGAAGTTGCCGCCGGAGCAGGCGTCGTCGTCGTGCATACCACGGCGCGCCGTACCACGCCATGTTACTCGCACGCTGAAGAATGGCATCCGATCTCGATGAGTAGACTGCGTCACGGCGTCGACGGCAAAGAACTCGTAGTGCGTGCGAGAGGTGAACATTTTACACTTTGTATTTTGCACGGCTTTGGCGACAACGGCGAGATGCGGGACATGCGTAAGATCGAGATCCGATATTTTATTTGTATTTTCAGAGGATCGCGGATTGCAATACACTGTCGAATCTGCTAATCGAGGGCTGCTTGGGGAGTAGCACGGGTGAATGATTGGGGTGCTGCATTGGCGACGGCGGGTGTCGCTTAGCGGATCAACTGGCGGACCGCCGAAGTTTCCGCTGTTGTCGTGCGTAACGCTCGCACTCCGCGCCAAGTCGAACAGAATGACAGTCCGCACGTACCAGATGGAATACCGACGTCCAAAGCTGTCATGAACAAGTGAAATTGGTGAGTCTTTCTTCTCGCAATCACTAGTTTGTGACGGCCTCTCATAGCAGCGTACGCCATTGAAGCAAGTACACAGAGGCGCTACAACTCGTGACGAGAAGCACAAGCGCCGAAACTGCTAGCACGATCTAGACGCTCATGACTGAGCACATTTTAAATAATTTTAAAGGGCCCTCGGTTTCATAAACGTCCCGAGTGTGCTAGAGGCCTATCCAGGGGCCGAAAGAACATTTAGCGCTTGTGATGAGTAGACTGCACAGCGTTGTGGCGAGTCCAAGTTGACTTCATTTTTCAAAAGAGATGGTTGCAGCGTTGCGTCACAGCGAAATGCACCTTTCTTCTTTGCTGTAGTCGCACTGGGGCCGGGCACAATAGGTCAACGGCGCGCCACACATATGTTGTTGCGCTTCTGATTCCATCCCATGTTCGATCCAAGGCGTTCAGCAGCGGGGTCCATGATGACGACCGCCCACAACATTCTATGCACCATGCGAGCCACACGTATCTCTGCTGGGCAACGTACACTGGCTCGTAGAATTATTAGCTCCTAGGATTAGTATTTCGTGTGACGTTATGGCTGCGCGCAGCTAATCAGACTTCGTGTTGATTGGCTCGACATGCATTGAGACATGACTCAGGGTCGCGCCCGATCGTGCCGTTGAGCTGCACCAGCGTCGCCATTGAATAGTGCATTGTTGTAGCACCCAAAAGACTAGCTGGCCCGTACTTAAGCGGAATTGACCACCTAGACCCAAGGTCGTGCTCAATCAGCAGCTCTTGATCCACTCTGGCAAGTTTTCACTATACAAGTATATATTCCTGCTTGTCGATCCAAGCCAGCGCCTCGACTCCTACACACCTTTCCGTATGATACTACTATGCGATCGAATTTCTACCACACACATGTCCCGCATCTCGCCGTTGTCGCCAAAGCCGTGCAAAATACAAAGTGTAAAATGTTCACCTCTCGCACGCACTACGAGTTCTTTGCCGTCGACGCCGTGACGCAGTCTACTCATCGAGATCGGATGCCATTCTTCAGCGTGCGAGTAACATGGCGTGGTACGGCGCGCCGTGGTATGCACGACGACGACGCCTGCTCCGGCGGCAACTTCGGCGCGAGCACCCGGTACGTTCCAGAGTCTTTGGCGCCACTCGACTCACTTTTCATTTGTCCATCTCAGCTCCAAGC